TAACTCCGTGACTTATGATCGATCGAACTTTGCTAACTGTACTTGATTGGCATAATCTTTTTATTGCAATAATCGATGCTATTTTGAGACACATATAAGCATCAGATTAAAACTTGTAAATTGACTTGCTTCCTGTGTGTTGAGTATACGTTCGCTGTGCACTAACTGTGTTCTTGCTTACGTAGCTGGGAGAAGGCTACTACTCGTGGCTTCCAATCTGTGCTGTGATCGTATCGTGAGGCTAGACGAATAGTGTGACCGTTGAGGTACTTGTGTTCCTCGTGTGTCGTGTGATATCTTGTTGTGTGTATATTGTGATCAAACGAGATCCGGACACAACACTTCTACCACGCTTTTTTCGCAGTTGCAGCTCCAGGTTGAAAGAAACCGCGTGGAAGTCAAAAGATGACGGGGGAACGAGGCATGTAGAGGCACGCACAGAGCCATTTAGTAGAATAGGCGTCTCCTTTCTTCCAGTTTGCGGTCCGAAAGACTCTTCAACTGGTTGGTTGGAGACAGTGAAGGATATATCGACTAACCGACAGCAGTGGCATTCTTGTGGAAATTTCCTATCAGGCCAGAATACTTGAAATTGTATGTATGTATGTGTACTCTGTGTGTTGAGCATAGAGGTTCACTTTCTTTGCCTCCCTCCACTTCGGCCCAGTCCCTCTCCATCTTGTGCTTTATCACGTGATTTGTGTACATTGTGAGCTTGGCAGCGATCAGTGAAGTTCGCTTCACTGTATCTCGCGCTGTACCGTGATGTTGATGATGACCCTCGGAGGTTCTCCGTGATGGGGTGTGGTATATGTTGTATTCAAAGTAGAGCATGTTAGCTGGAAGATCCACCATTCACCCTGTCAGATGAATTCCCCGAATGTTTGATTTACACTAAATTAGATGTAATGCGAACGTTCTACAGGCTCTCCCGATGCAGCAGAGTAGACAAAGATGCGCGACAAGATGTTCTCCGGCTCTTGTTCTCACAAATGGACATGGCGGTACGGATAGTGACTCGACCGGTCACGGGTTTGTGAGAAAACACGGACACGCATTTCCTACGTCGGTCGGGGTTGAAGATAAACCCACAAGGCAAGCAACTAGAACGCCATGAGTCTGATAGGTTGAGTGAGATACCAGCACTCACGATAACAAGTTACTGGCCCGATTGTCGCGCTTTTCATAGGTAGCTTTCGGGTATTATCCAAGAACGTTCAACTCATAGTCTTGTTGGACCAGTAAAGTTTGTCTTTAAACATGAATGAGGTTTGCCATTCAATCCCGTTTTGTTCTGAACAGCATCCTCTCGTTTTTTCCGCCCCTATTTGTATAATTTTACTCCTATAGTAATTCCTGGTCATTTTTACCCACGTTTTATTGGATTTGCCATAGAACGTTAGGCAGAATCGTGTTTTGCAAACGGTAAACCACATTTCCACCGAAAGCCTATTCAAACGCTTTGTACTGTCCCATCCCTCGTCTTGTATTTGATCAGCTTTTGGCCGGTGCATCGACAGAGGATCGAACACTGCAGAAATACACACCGTTGCATTTGTGTGTGGTGCACAATCGGGCCGAACTGCTTCACTGTCTCATTGAGACCGGGGCGAACGTGAACGAGCGAGACTCGGAGATGAATACGCGTAAGTTATAACTGCACTGTGCTTGTCTTTGTGTGTTTCTGTCATCTTGACTCGTCCTTCTCAGGATTTGTTCGGTGCCTTACCCTGTCTGGTCCATCGCCTGTGTGTGTGTGTGCTGATCATACATACTCTGCAGCTTTGTTGCTTCAGGTACCGGTTTTGGCGTCATCTCTGATAAGATGCAAATGATCTATGGATTATTGTCATCAATCTCTGGCTGTATCTATTTGACCATTCGTTGGCATGCGCTGTAACAGTCCATGAACGTTTGTTTGCATCCCCTCCCTCTGCCCTATCGATTTTCGAGTCACAGTAATCTCTTTGTTCATCGTACTACCAGTTTACCATACTCTCATTCACAGCGATCACAGAGAACGTACTCTCGAAAGCGTTGACTTCAATCCCCCATCCCTTCACTCTGCTGACTCTGCTGATCATATGTATATCGGGATCTCGACACCCGTTCCAACATTGGTCATGGTGATTATCGCTATAACGGTGTGGATATCAATCGCCATAGTATTATACTATGGGGTATGCCCGTCTGTTTGAGTTGCCGCAGTCCTTATATTTCATGCGTCAGATCCGCATCACTAATTCTGTGTGATCAATCTCATTTGCTTGCAGTGAAAACAATTTTTGATTCCAACCGCAACTGCAAAAACAGGAAGTTTCAACACCACACTTGGTAATACAAAATCTGACGAACTGAAACGTGAATGGTGAGGTACAGTTTCTGTTCCCCACCGTTGCGATACGAGTGTTGCGGGCGAATTTCCTACTCTGTTCCCCGGTCAGAGTAGTGTTTTGATAGAAAAGTCCATGATCCTCTTTGGTTAATATCTAATCACTCATTTCTGATGCGTTTCTCAGTGGACTTCCCCACCAGGTTGCTCAATACACCTGGTTGATGAATCACTCAGTGAGTGTGAACCCAATATTCTTGGGACCAGTTTATGCACCTCATTATAAACGGGTTCCCAAGATAGGTTGCTAGTTCTTCTCGTTAGTTTGAGTACCAGCGAAGCCATGCTCGGTATACGTTTTGCACCTTCAAAGTGTAAAATGTTACTTCAAGACTGGGTTGGTCCAGTACCCAGACTCACTATAAGTAGTGGATAAGTTATGTTATCTGGCAGCTGCATCTCACCCGGTGGACGCATCACGGATGAAGTGTCAGCTCGTATACAGAAGGCTCGGTTGGTATTTGACAACTTGACATATCTGTGGCGCCATCACCACATCCGGCTGTGTGTGAAGGGTCGAGTGTTTGCTGCACAAGTTCGGCCAGTTCTGCT